AGCAGGAATTCTTATACTGGTCACTTGTGGTTCACAATACATAGAATGGCAACCTTCAGTCTGGACATTACTTAGCATTTCTATAATGGCAATAACTTTTGCATGTACCCCTCCCCCCCAGCCACTCTTCTTGCAGACTGCTGTCTTGCACCCTAATATAATCATATGCAAGCTCTGCACAGCTCTCTTGCTCTGCAATACAATCTCTTTTAGCTTTAATTTCATTAAATAGAAATGAATGTTAGAAATAACAGGGACATGAGGAGTAGATTTTGGAAATCTATGGATAGACTAATGGTTCTCAGTTGGCACTGCCATACTCACAGTCCCATCTGTGCTACTGAAGTCCTCACTTGACATATATACATTGGATCCCAAACCCCAGAGAATAAGACCCTGGACTCTGGAGGTATTTGAACTTGGATCTGATTTATACAACTTAATTTAGCCTCTAGATAGAACTCAAATCTGTAAGGGCCGCCAAATTTAGATTTAAATTTAAAATTGAAATTGCAGTTTGATTTTTTTGTTGTATAGTGTCACTGTTCCCTGAAAATAAGAAATTAAAAGGAACGAATATATCATGGTGTCTATCACTGAGTTTAAAATAATACAATCCTTAATACAGGGGCAGGCAAAATACAGCCCACAGACCAGATCCGGCCCACCAGGTCATTCTGTCTGGCCCATGGAGCCCCTAAAAATTTTAGTAAATTACTATTTATTCGCCCTGGCTCCCTGTCAAAGCTGGCTGGAGTCAGGAGCAGTAGGACCCAGAGGGAGCCCTCAGCAGGCTTGCAGCCTTGAGCAGCCCAGCTCCGCCCACCCCAGCCAGTTCCCAGCTTTCCTGCCTCCACCCTGCTCTAGTACCATGTGGCTGTGGCTCCTGGCTGCATCCCCGGATCGTAGAGCATGGGACCATGCTGGTAGGGGTGTGTATGTGTGTGCACGTACATGTCGGCAGGCACAGAGGCAGAGTATGTGTGTCTGCAGGTACAGGGGCAGAGTGTGTGCGTGTGTGCATGTTCATAGGGTGAGTCCCACATGCACACCCCTCCATACACATATACCTACACCCTCCCCTCGCACTGCCATACACAAACCCCAGCTACCCTACCCCCATACCCACCCACACACCCACAGCCCCCGCAAACCTATACCCACCCCCCATAGTATACAAAAATAAGACTTAATTTTAAGCTATTGTGCAGTCACTTCTGTGTACACTACACAAACACATGTAAATCAGGACAAATTTTTTTTTTAAATCAAATTAATGAATGTTGTAGATGATCACTTTTTAGAATATATTTTGGTATTTTTCTGGTTCTGAGATGGCAAAACCCCTTGCTGAAAGGAACACTTCCTGGGGCCAGGAGAGGGACGTCTGGTGGCAAAGGTCGGGGATTAGGGAGTAAGACTTCTGGTCACAAGATGGCGACCAGGGAGCAGGGCACCTGTCAGGGGGCGGGGCTACCCATGCAGCCCTTGACAGCTTGCCAAAACTTGGTAAGCAGCCCTCCGCCTGAACTAATTGCCTGCCCCTGCCTTAATAGATTTTTTTTCTTCTCTGTTTAATATTTTCAGTTTAAAGTATTTGCTTTCTTCCTCACACACGGAAAGGTTGTCATGATGGGAGGGGGGGGGTCTTTGAGCTAATATGTGTGTAAATGAAGTTATCTTATGCTCCAATGAGGAAACTGAATACATGTAGATGCTAACTGGATTTCAGAAGGTATCTTTGAAAGGTTAAGAATGCATCTAATCTTCACAGCCATTCATGCTCACGATTGTAGCTTAGAAATCAATTTTGTTTGGTAGAAGATATTACTAGAAATATGTCTGTTTATACTGGATGACCATCACACGAGGGAATAATAACCTACTGGAACAACTAAACAACTTCATTAAGGGTTCACGTCAACCTTTGAGACCTGGTTTAGGGGTTCTGATGCTGGACTATAGCTTATTATGTTTTATATTCAGAGTGACTTCAGATACCCTTAACAGCCTTTAATTGTGAAGCTTGAAATATTTTAGCACTAAGCCTGTTCCCAAGCTGTCTAATATCCTTTAACTTGCACATGCTTTACATAACCCAATATATAATCCATTCAGAACAACCAAAAACAAACTCACCATAGGAAAAAAAAGTTATGTTTATGCAGTGGAGACTGATTTCTGCAATGGTTGAGTTAAAAGAATGTTATCTTGAGTATGCAGGCCATTACCATTAATTCTGGGATCAACAGAAGAGATGGTATAAAATGAAAGATTGCTTTGCTAACAAGTATTGCAGTTTTGTCTTCTGGAACTGTGAAACCTGGAAGTAAGCTTTGTTTTGAAACATATTTCCCTTCCAAAACATACAACAGTTTTAAAATTATCCAGTTACACTATAATTTGTTGTTCAAAACAGGATCCTTTTCCAAAACTTCACAGCATTTTTGAACATTTGTCAAAAATGTGTTCTTTGTATTTCATGCAAAGAGTATGTGGTTCCAAAACCCATTACAAATCATATGTTTAAAGATTTTGTTTGATAGATTCATATATGATTTCTTCAAACATACTTAAGAGAAAATAAAAAGATACAGAAACTACTTACAGAAACACAACTTAGTCACATTATAAACAACCTCATGAAGTTAATTCAGAAAAGAGGAAACCTCATGAAGGTATAAACCACAACTTTATATCTTATATTATTTTAAAGACACCCCCCCATGATAAAAAATATACAGAAAATTCTGTTTGATTGAAGATGCTAAGGGTAGATATTAAAAATTGGGTTACGTTAATGTTTAGGTCCATTCATATACACACTTAGGGATATAAAAACATTCTATAAGAAGTAGTTCCATTCCACTCCTGATCATGAAATTCACTCATACATTTTTGTAGACTTGGGTCATTGTCATGCATCATGGGGTTTTTTAATTCTGATATGTTATGTTCTACTGTCTATGGGGTGGGATTTTCAGAGGGGCATAAAGAAATTAGATTTTCAACTCAAGTTTTAATTGTAGTTGGTTGTATGTTAAGTATTAGTAGCAACTTCTGTATATGCAAGTTACTGTTGGGTCAATTAATCTGATTAATTCTATGTACATGTTTTATTTACCAAAGGAGGCAGTATATGGGAGATGGGATTTTATTTGGTCTCCATTCTGACAGGGAAATATTAGCAGAGAAAAGAAACCAAATATTTCTTGTTTCATATAAATATATATTCTCCAGGTAAAGGAGGATATTTAACTAACAGATGCCCATAAACTGAGGGGAGAACTAACATTGCTACCAGCTCGTCAATCATTAATTGACTTTTCTTTTTCATAATGTATAACATTGTTGTGAAATTAGATGTATAATTTTTGATGCAGTGAAATTTGGACTCCCATTTTATATTAAGGTTCCATGTATAAAGGATTAGATGTTTTCAGAAATGGCTAATCAAGTACTAGAATGTTGCAGCTTAATAGGTTGCTTTAAGCATCAGTAATATTTTCTCCTTGCTGGTGCCTGTAATCATCTATAACATACATCCTACTACTGTCTGCTATATAATGCATAATCTATAAGCCTTTATTAAACCTTTATAAATAAAACCTTAATATAAAATATAATTATGTCCAGTCTATAGCATTCTCCTAAATTAGTATAAGTCTTTTTGATCTGAATGTTTCTTAAAACATTTGTTTACAGTATAAGAAAGTGCCTATTAGATGTTCAGACTTATCATGTCACACATCAAGGATGACTTGCCATCATTTCGATATCAGTGTAGTTCTAAGATATTTTATTCTGATAATACACTTAACACCCCATATGACAGTTTGAAAGGCTATGATTTATAGGCTCATTACCATAGATTTATTTAAAAAAATAATAAAACATACTAGAAAAGATGATTATTCAAATATACATACATAGACATTTCAGCATACATCAGTTTTCCCAGACAGTATACTGCCATTCTCTCAGGTTCCATAGCAGTGCTTCTATTTTGCTTGATGGTTTTCTGAGGCCACCAAAGGCTATAGCCCATATTGTCATTACAGGTTATCTATAGAAATTACTTTGTAAGGAATGCTTTGAGATGGAAGGTGTTTTGATTTGTTCCTCTTGATTTATAGTCACTGGATTACATTGTTTTAAAAGACATACAGAAAAAAAACAAAACCAAACCAACAAACCTCCCTGGGACTGAAACACTTTGTATGTGTTGTTGTTTGCAGTGCATGCCAAGACATTCATGGGCACCAGAGCCAAGCTGGCGAGCTAATTAAATATATAAATGTATGTGTTTAAACAGCCTTGTAAGGAGCATTGGAAATCTGCAAGATGAGCGAATATCTTATAACTTCTTCCGCAGGTGCAAGGATAGCTACAAGCCATGGACTTTCTGTCCTGCTTCTTGTTTGTGGCTTTGTGAAGGGTGCTTTGCTTTAACCTAAAAGTGCTGACTTTTTCCAATATCGCTTTCTCTTCTTAAAGCAAAGAGCAAATCGCCTGTAAAATCCACGGAGCGGACAGCAAAGTTGACCCTAACCTCCAACCACCACTCTGCACCCAATGTACTCTAAATCTCTACACAAGGAGCACCTTCTTCAGGAAGTACAAATAAAACAAAACAAAATAAAATAAAAAAATATATAAAAAAGAAGAGGATACCACACATTTTCTTGAATATATATTATTTTCTTTGACGTATCACTGATCTTTTATTTGAAGAGAACTGGTGTGATGTAATAGAACATTTTGTAATGGCAAGATCTTGTTTCCATTTCTTTTGGCAAGTAGAAGCATTATATCCTTGACTGCTCAGGGGTTGGCCTGTGAGTCATCAGTATTACAAGATTAATTGTGTATGGCATTTGGTTTCCAACTTTGAAAGAACTGTTCCAACCTGGAAGCAAACAGAGGCCAAAAGAACCAAAACAAATCTCCAGAAAACAAATTGACTCAGTGTCAGCTACAACAAAACACTCCCACAAACTTTGAGAAAAAGCCATTTTTTTTTTGTTTGTGGGGAGGGAGGGCAAACCAAAAAATTCAACTTTAAAGCAGCTACCAGGACTAAAGGATGTGGTTTCTGGACAAGCAAGCAAGAAGTTGTATTAAGGTTTTTGTTCTTTTGTTTGTTGTTTGTTGCATTTTTTTCCTTTCTCTCTTTTTCCCCCCTCCCTCTTCGTTTTTTCTTGGTTTGTTTCTTGTTCAATGGTGGCAGTTGCTGACTTAGGCCAACTCCTGATGACTGCGTGGAGGTTAATATAAATACATCTTTTTGTGTGTTCTATATTTCAGTGTGTTTTCTCTAATTTTGCAACTCCTGTATATGCAAAACTAACTAAATTCTGTAAATTGCTAACAGTATGTGTGATATGACTTCAGAGTAGACATACTATGGTCTTCATGCAAGCCAGTTTTTAATATTATCTATATGTCGTGCCACCAACAGCCATCTTTGTTTCCTTTTTTGATGAAGCATTATTTTTTAATTTGTAATTCAGTACTGTGTGGATTTTGTAATACATACATTCACTTCCACTGGTTTGACCCCTTACAGATGGCAGTGCAGCCCTCTGTTTACTCTGTAAAATGCACATTAAAATTTGTTATGGTCTCTGAACACTGAACTATTTTAGTTTTGTGTACAGTGTGCTGCAGTTTGATTGCTCAAAGCCCGTTTAATTTAAGATGCTTATTGAAGATGAAGTGATTTTAACAGTGGAGAATGTAAATGTGACTTTGCAGGGAAATACTGAATATGAGCAAAGTTAAAGGATGGGGGTGGGACAAGCCGACAAACAAACAAAAAAGCCACAAAGTGAACCAAACTGACATGTTCTTGAAAAATTTATTTCAAGAATGGCTTTTACGAAGAATTTTACTGTACTGGTTTGCTAGAGTCACAAAAGTACTATGACTATGAGGTTGCTTTGTTTACCGTTTCTATAGGTTTGTCATTGTTCATTTATACTCTTATTCAGATTAACTTATGCTATGCTTATGAACTGAAAATGAAATGTTGGTGTTGGCTGGAAGTGATATGCATAACATGAATTACACTCAGTAATGAAAAAAGGAAAATGTATTAACATTTGTTGCTAGAAACAGACAGTTTTTATTGTTTCCTCACTCTCTTTACTCTTGAATAATCCAAATCCTTCCTGCTGGTTCATCTATGGTCTAAACAATAATTTATACAGTACTTTACATGATTCCTTGATCTATTGATAAAAGACCCTGCATCACAATATGATCAGGAGAAAGAATGGTATCTCATTTTAACCTAATATCTCTTTCTCCTCATAGTCAAAAAGAAGTAGCTACATTTAGTGTCCCTCAGATCTAAGGCAGGGGTTGGAAACTTATGGCCCATGGGTTGGATCTGGCCTGTGGAGCCACTGAATCTGGCTCATGGAGTTAGAGAGCTTTGACTATGTTTGGTGGTGGGTGGCTATGCCTGCCCTGTTGCTGGGTGATGGAAAGAAGTGGTGATAATGGCAGCAGCTGGGTCCTAGTGCTGGCCTTTCTTGGATTTGAGCTAGGCCATTCCATGCCATTGTCTGAAAATGTTGCTGGCCATTGGTCCAAGGCCTGAAGGTCTAATACTGCACTTTTCAAAAGTCTCTTAATGGTCCATTCCTCTTCCCTTTAAAAATGAATGGCATAGGGTCAGTCTGTGGACTGGATCCAGCACAGGGTCAGAGTTTAGGATCAGTCCGTGGGTGCAAACCTGTGTGCCAGCCAGGACTGACATGCTGGATCTGGCCTCATAATGATCCCATGCACTGGTATGATCATTCAACCCCATAGAGGCCCCCACTGGTATAAAAATTTGGCAGCAGGAGAATGGTGGCAACATTAATTGCCACCACAAATAATGCTGCCACTACCCCATCATGATGGTGGGATCTTGTACTGATCCCTCACTGCTACATTTCTGCCTCCTGGCTAGTCCCACAAGCTGAATGACAGCTTCATAAGTCTTGTATCTGGATTGCATAAAAGTGCACATTGTGTTCACTTTGAACAGGAGATTACATTAACTTCACTGAGAGTACTCACAATATTAAATCAAACACAATTTGGAACATAATTTACATTTGTTAAAAATATATTTTATAATTCCCATATTTACTTGAATATAAGGCAACCCTGAATATAAGGGGACCCCAAATAATTAGATTATGTTTTTGGAAAATTTATAAATTCATTATAATTTTCACAGTGTAGAATCTAAGTATTAAAAGGTTGTCTTAAATCCCCCTACCCACCATGTGCTTCATGCCTAGGATAGACCCCAGTCCACGCCAGAGCTGAACTGTAGTGGGTGGGGGTAGGAAAAAGAAGCTGAAGAAGGGAAGTGGAAGTGGGAGCAGGAGGGTGCTATGGGTCTGACTCTGGCCCTGAGCCCAGGTCAGGGCCAGAGTCAGAGCCACAGCAGCCACCCATTCCCCCTTTCTGTTTCGTAGGCAAATATAAGACAAAGGACTTTTTTCTCCATCATGATTGGGAGGTAAAACCTCATTTTATATTAGAGTAAATACAGTAGTTTCACTTCTGCAATATCATTACTTCACATTTCCTTATCGTTTCTTACTGTTAAATTATTATAATCTAATCCAGAGCAGAATGATACAGTCAGGCCAGAGGAGGAGAAAAAAGAGAAAGATTAATTTGTTTAAATGTCCCAGTACAGAATTTTGTGTTAAAGAAATTTTGTTAATATTGTATAGCCCTGTTGATACAGAAAATAAAAAGATCCTTGGTTTAATCTGAAACAAGGCTAAATAAAATTAAAGAAAGACATGCAAGAGTCTGAGCTTCCAGACTCTTTTTGTGCAAGCATCTGCAAGTTCTGCATGTAAGTGATGCATCTCAGGACAATGGGTTACACTTTCAAAATTCAGGGGGCTGACAAGCATAGGTGAACCATACATGTCCCCTAGGAAAGCAAGCATGTAAGGCCTGAGCCTAGAAGGTAACCCTGCAAGGAACTGAGAAGCTTCAGTTCCTATTGACACCAAGGGAAGCTGAAAGCTCTGATCACCTTCCAAATGTTTCTTAACATCTAGCATACTGCACGTAAGTATCCATTTATTGTCTGTCTTAATGGAGATCATACATCAGCATATATTCGCACTGGCCAATTTTAATAACAAATATGGGATATACATATGCATTTATATAGACTCTTCCTATTGCCTGAAGAAAGGTGTTTGCTCCCAAAAGCTTGCAAAGAACAGTTTTTCAAACTACATAGTTGGTCTAATAAAAGATATCACATGTACCCAAAGAACCTTGTCTGCATTTTTGCATATGCATTTTGCAGGTGCAACTTAGCATCTAAATTCTGAAAATTAGGCCCTGAATATAATGTTGCATCTTCTGCTACTGTTTTTTTTCCCACCGACACGCTGTCTAGTCATAGTTTCCATGTAACGTGGTGTTAGAATAAAAATCCTACTGAAATTAAAAATAGAACTATGAGACACCTATTTCAACATAACATAGTAGAGGGAAAAAACCCAATAGGCCATGTCCAGATGAGCGCAGCCATGCAGTATGTAGCAGCACAGACACAACTGCAGCGCCACACACTGCACATTCAACTATTCACTGTGCTACAAGGTAGCAGCACAGGTGGAATGGGGTGGAGAGGGGAGTTTGACCCCCGGGTATCCTGGGGTAAAAAAAGAGCGGGAAAAAAAAAAAAGCAGGGAGGTGCATGTGGGGGGGAAGTGCACCACCCAACACTGGAGCCTGGCTGGCCAGAGTCACACTCTGGCTGTCAGCCAAGCTCTGAGTGGCAGGATCGCTGCTGCTGCAGCCCCAGGAGGCCCCCAGGTCCCAGGTGAGGCTTCTGGGGCCAGTCCAATGCTGGCCTCAGCCACCACTCCCCCACCTGGAGGAACCTGCTGCATGCCAGAGGGCGCATGGCACAGGCGTTCCCCAGTGACACGTATCAGTGGCACAAGGTGTGTTGCTGCTTCTTGTCCTCAGAGAAACAAATGTCCATACTCATGTGGATGTGGCCACAGAGGCTTTGTCATGAAAAAGCTTGGCACTCTAATCTCCTAGAATTCTTCAACCATATCATCAAAAAGTGAATAAAGGAAAGCTGGGTGGCAATTTATTGGGCTTTTGTAAAGCATTTAACAAAATATCTTACACGAAACTAGTAAAGAGGATATTTTAGTTTTTTTTTAATGAGGTTATAAACCCTCATTCTTCAGGTTACAAGTAAACTACTAGTTCCTAAAAAGTGTCCTGATCAGTAGACTACCATAATGGTCCACTCAGAGCATTCTTGCACCTTCATTCCTATGAATCGAGATACACTAAGAAGCAATGGTCTGTACAAGGACCAACTGCCATTCAAAGTTTTATATAGCAATTCTGCAGAACTCTTCAGCATATGTTTAAGTGTGTGCCTACCCCAAACTCCTGTTTCTAGGACATAACTCCATAATAAAGCTAAGCATATACTTACATGCTTGGCTGAATCAGGATCCTAGAAAAAGGCAACCTGCACCTTGAGATAGTAATTATTTTCATAAGCCAATTTCTTTAGCATTTGTACAAAAAAAAGCTAATGTTAAGGAGGCCATTCAAATAATGTGTGATTTGCACCGGGTGCCTCCATGAATATGACTTGCATG